AATGTAAAATTAGGAAAAAAAACCTGACTCTCTCCAAGAACTCATAACCTGTTTCACTACACCAGAACAGCCTCCTGACAACAAGGATGTTTTGCCGAAAGATGTCGAGGAAGGAGCAGAAAGGACATGTCCTCTGGAGAGCACTGCAAGGTGTCCCCTCGAAAGACTATGAGTTCCCCGCGACCATAAACTCCTCGTCTGCTGGAGTGGATGCTTCCTCAGCATTACATGCGTGTAGCTATTTACAGAAAAGCCATCTGTAGGATGTGCTCATGAATTTTTCAACTTGGAGATTAAATGTTTCAAGCTTAGTTCTCAAAATCTACCTGTTTTCAATCTTTACTCAATTCAGATTTTCAGACAGACTTTCCCATTTCAGGATACATTAGGATGCTGTTGACTCTCCTCGGGAAATGACCTCAGGTAACCCGTTTCAAAGGACCTGAGCAATGCCAACAATAAGAATGGGATGAGTAGATACAATCATGGAGAAATTACACTGGTCTAATTTCTCTAAATGTCTGTAAGGGAGTCTAAAATACCTTTGCTTTACCAGAGGTGTTTGTAGATATGTAGATTTCCCATTTGAACCAGCTCTGAACTCACGACTTAAACTCTTCTATTAGATTCACTAGCAAATCTCAGCAGCACATCTTAAAAGTAAGCCCTTGATCTTTGCCATCTCAAAAACCGATATTCAGCTGAAACGTGACTCTGTTCTCTCCTTGCCAAAATTTGTCCCCGAAGAGACGGCCAAGGTCAAAGAACTAGACTCCACAAAATGCAAATACAAAGTCTATCCAAAAGATTAAAAAAAAAAAAATGTAAATCCTAATGAGCCTCAAGTTATGTAGCACTCCAACAACTAGCCCTTGGAGGATTTGAGGACCATTTAGGGCTGCCTTCTGGTAGTCTCCCTGATTCGCTAAAGGGAGTCCAGAGAGGAACATGAAAACACAGCAGGTCACCTGATGGAATGTGTTTATTATGTAGTCAGGAAGAGAAACCTGGGTTGGCCTCTCCCAGCAGGTTTCAGGCTCTGCCTGCTTATCTACAGGATAGCCGGGACTGCTCGTCAGAGGGAAAGCCAGGGTCACTGGGCTGAACCAGGGCTGTCAGTTTCCACCCTGCTCCCAGCCCTTTGCCCCTGTGGCCACACCGAGCACATCCCCGATCTGAAGACCGTCCTAGGTCCTGGTTTCATGGGGATTGGCTGGGCAAAGGCTGGGCTGCAAACAGCTCACTGTTTGTCCGGGTTGCTTATTAAGTTCCCACACGTCATGGGGCTGTCTTTAACCTACAAACCTGTACTCCATTGCGTGAATCAAAAATACACATTCGATTCAGTTCCATGATGCCACAAAAAAAGGAAAGCATCCCATTTCCTCTCGAAGGCTGTTCCTTGCACTCCTGACAAAGCGCATGTGATGCAGATCACAATACTCCAAGTGGCTCCAAGCCACACGCTCCTAAGAAACACGACTGAGTCGGAGAATGGAAAAACTTGGCCTACTAAAATATGCACACCTGCTGTGCTAGAAAGCAGCAATATGGGGAACTCGTGAAATAACGTACGGAGTCCAACACGACAACTCCTCAAAATGAAATGAGCAGAAGGCTCTGCTTTGCTATGAGCTGACAGGTGAACAGGCTTCAGAACCATAATGTCACCAGGGAAGACCTCAGTCCGGGTCAGGGCAGAAGGAAGGACACAGCAGATGAGGCCATGGTCAGCTTGAAAGCCCTCTGAGCACCTGACCCAGGAGAAAGTTCCCCCGCCCCTGCAGCTAAGGTTCTCAGATGACAACTGCCCCACCCCCATGCGCTGCAGGAAACCTGCCCGGGGAACAGAGGTGCCTCAGCGTCTCCCAGAGCTCAGTGGGCTCCCAGCCCCCAGCGCCCACTCCCTGGAGCAGGATCCTGGCCTCCCTAAGTGAAGTCTTCAAAAACCTGGGGATTGTAAGGGGGAAACTCTGTTCCGTACAGACTGTCATGTTTCCAGCCACTGTTTCTGAAACTCTTCAGATAAGGACACACACTTAATTCAGCATTCCCTGACCCAGTGACCCAGGGACTCACTTGCCCATAAAGAAGAAGCTGGAATCTCTCTGGTGGAGGTCAGCATCACTAAATGAGCTGAGCAGAAGTGAGTCTTGATCATTAGAGCTGGGCAAGGTATTTCAGCGATTACTTTTCAACCAGACTGACCCCTGCTTCCTCAAGTTGAGGTAAATATTCCCGCCAAAAAACAACAACTGAATTTGGGGATTTTGCTTTGGGGGATGAGCGTGTGAGTTTTCATTCCAGTCAGGAAATATGTTCTTAAATACTTCCTTAGTCTGGTCAGTATTGCCCCTTCTCTGAAACCGCCTTTTCAAAAACAAAACCTACTTAACTTCCCTAAGTTTCTTCACAACATGTTCGTTATCAGTCTAGGATGAAAAGATGGCACTTTATAAAATAAAATTGGCATTTAGAAGATTGCCCAGTACTTCGAAAGGCTATAACCACATTTACACAGACTGGGCTGTTCCAAATCTTTCACAAAATTCTGAACCTTAGAAAAGCTATTCTCCATGATTTGGGAGACAGCAAAGCTAGATTGATTTCCTTACCTAAAAGCCAGGTTTGACATTCGTTATATTATGAAATAAGTACTTCTAAAATTAGTTGCTTGAATTCCAAAATATACTTTTGAAAGTCAATAATGGTTTTATTTAAGAATAGAAAATTTGCTCTTCATACTTCTTTAGAACCCATTTCTTATTTTATTCCAGATTTGAAGGGTTACCATTTTAAAGAATGCCAGACAAGGGGATCTCTATTTTAATCTTGATATTGGGCTCCTAATTTCATCCTTGTGTAATTTTTAAAAATCCCAAACAATCCAAAATAACGCATAATTATCATAGGAACTGGCATTTCAAACTGGACTGTAGGCTATATATACATCAATACTTTTCTTTTTTTTTAAAGATTTTATTTATTTATTTCAGAGAGAGAATGAGAGATAGAGAGCACGAGAGGGAAGAGGGTCAGAAGGAGAGGCAGACTCCCCGCCGAGCAGGAAGCCCGATGCGGGACTCAATCCCGGGACTCCAGGATCATGACCTGAGCCGAAGGCAGCCGCTTAACCAACTGAGCCACCCAGGCGCCCTACATCAATACTTTTCAAATAAAACGTGTTCCTAAACACATAAGAAAAATACAAAAGATATTTATCTAAGTGTTATTACGCAATAATGCACTTTTTAAAAAGAAATAGTATACCAGATCCAAAAAGGGACATTGCTTATTTTTGTAACAGAAAAATGATGTAATTCTAATGATTGCTTATTTTTATTGTTATAAAGTTTTTTTTATAACTAGATGTGAATTAGGGTTATTATTTCATAGACGTGGCTATTTTTTAGTCTGCTTTACTCCAAGTATAAATTATAATTTATTAGCTTCTGATGGCTTTCCACTAATAATTATTTAAACATTTTTCCCAGGATCAATAAATTACCTCTGGCAAACACTGTTATAGTCAAAAGGGATGTCTCCAAACCAGAAGCTAAATTAAATATTGCTATGGCTTCTCATGTTGAAGCATGGAAGTATCTGGCAGGTTTTGCAGCTTGATGTCAATTCAGATGGATGCTATATTTCAGCTGTACTGATTTATTATTATTTCTTAGATGAAAGAGGACAAGTAGATTCCCCTGTGTAGTAATAATTGTACATTTGGTGTCTTAGTGTTTATTCTAACCAAGATTACTGAAAGTAACGTAAACAGTATTACCCCTAAATGAAAGAGGTTACTTTCAAGTGGCAAACCTTACTAAAAGTTTCGCTGCTTTATTAAGTGTAACTCTCAGGATATAGTGTTAAAAAATAGTTCTCTAGAACAGGAGTTGGCAAACTTTCTCTAAAGGACCAGATAGTAAATAGTTTAGCTTTTGCCATATGGTCTTTGTTGCATCTACTCAACTTTGCTCTTGTTGCAGGAAAGCAGTCAGAGATTATATGTAAATGAGTGTGCATGGCTTGCGTTCCAATAAAACTTTATTTCTGGACACTGGAATTTGAATTTCATACAATTCTAATGTGTCGCAAAACAGCATTCTTCTCTTGAGTTTGTCCAACTGTTTAAAAATGTAAGAATCATTCTCAGCTCTCAAGGCCTGTAAGAACAGATTTCAGGCTGAATTAGGCCCATGGGCTGTGGTATGCCTACCCTAGTTCCCATAAAGCTACAGTAGAAACCATCCTTCCTTAAAGATTACCATTGCAAAATGAACTGATTGTACTAGTCATGTGCCGGAAAATATAAAAACCGAAAGAAAGACAAATTACCAAAGGATAAGCAAGGTGTGGCTAAAAATCAGGCCCTCACCCAGGATGCTCACCTGTCCTGCTCATGCAAGGCCACTTCATCCTGGCATCCACGGCCATCAGCAGGTGAGTGAAGAAGGCCAGCCTGCAGAGCACCCATCTGGTTCTGAGCAGCACATACTTGCTGGGCATGCTTCATCCTCTGTCAGATCATCACTACCCACTGTGGCTCTGAGGGGGGACAGAAAGACACCTGTCCATCCCTCCTCCGCCCCATCACCCAGCCCCTGAGATTCAAGCTTCTCTGACTGCTAAAGACTCAGAGAAGTCTAGCGGTTAGGCTATTCTCTGCTCTGCCTACACAAAGGGGGTTGAGGATCAGCGACCCTGCAGCTTACAGCAAACCGACCAGACTACTCTGGTGTTTCAATTCACCAAGCACCTTATTTTGGCAGGGAACAGAAGCCTTCTACAAAATGTTTCAAAGAACATTTTTGCCCAGAATGGGAAATCTGGGCCTTTCCACCTCAGAGAGGGAAGACCGAAGAAAGGAAACTTGGAAATACTGTTGTTTAATTATTGTTAAAGGGCCAGCATGATCAGCTGAGGAAGAAGATCCCCCGACTATCAAGACCTCCCAAACTCCCCAGGAGCTGAAATGGAAAGTACAGCGTGAAAGGGTGTGCAAGTGGCCTTTATTTTTTTTAAAAGACGTGTGTACACAAAGGGCCAAGTAAATAACGTCCAGTCTGTGCAAACATCTCCCAGATCCCAGTTAAGAGAAAAGGACAGCCCAGCCAAGGCCCCACCCGGTTTTCACCGAGAAACGGGCCGCTGTGTGAAGGCTCCAGCGCACACCCACAGTCCGGCACCTTCTCTCCGCAGGATGTGGCGGGATGCCTGTCCTTTCCCTGAGACCCGAGGCGTCTGCAGCAAGCTGCAAAGGCTAAAACACGATGTCTACAGTTGAAAACAAATCCCAAGGTCTTACAGCTGTGCACAGGGGTTAGGGCCTTTTCCTTGAAGGCAGCTACGGCTCGGAGTCAAGAATTTTTTCGCATTCTGGCGCAGGGCGAGAATTCTAGAGGCAGCCTAGAGAGGCCTAAGCGAGGAGAAAACGGGCCGGGCAGGTTCGGTGCTTTCCCCGGGCTCACGATGCTTGCTCGAAGGATCCGTCCTGGTGGGAGTTTACAGCTGAACGGCTCCCTCCTTTCCTTCCCCGGTGGACGGTGCTCAGGAAGACGTCTCCGCAGGTCACCCGGCAGCTGTGAGGCGGCGCGGGGCCTGGGGCAGGGCCTCGGGCTCAGAGCGCGTCGGAAGGGCGCACGTAGCGCAGCGTGTAGTTGGCCCCCGCGTTGTTGTCCCAGTACTCGCCCTGCGCGCAGCGGTAGCAGACGGCGAAGTGGACCGCGGCGCCCGGCGCGTCCGCGTCTTCCCCCTCCTGGGGCTGCAGACTCGGCGGCAGGCACAGCGAGAAGTGGAAGCGCTCGGCGCCCGGCTCCCCCTCGGCGTCCCCGGGCCCCCCGGACGACGCCTCTGGCGGCTGTGGCTCCGCCGGCTCGGGCTGCAGCTCGGCCGCCACGTCCAGGAAGGAGCGCCACTCGGTGAAGGTGTAGCGCACCGCCACGGCTCTCGGCCCGGGGCAGCCCAGCACCCGGCCGGAGCCCGTCACCTCTGCGCCCGAGGGCACCGAGCACTGCACGCGCTCCAAGCACACGCGCTGCCGCCGCAGTCGCTCGGCGGCGGCGCTCGGCCCGGGAAGCTGGAAAAGAGGCCGAAGCCGGGGAGGTGGCGCGGAGAGGGGCGCGGCCGCTGCCGCCGCGGCCAAGAGGCCGGGAAGCTGCTCTAGGTCTTGGGCGCGCAGGGGGAAGCTGCGGAGGCGCGAGAGCACGGCGGGCGGCACCTGCGGCTCCTCGGCCTCGCTGAAGTGCTTCACGCTGGCCAGGCTCAGCCCCAGCGCGTCCGCGAACTGCACCCGCTTCTTGCACTTGGCGCAGCAGCCGCCGGAGCTGTGCGGCGCGCCCTCGGCCCGCTCGCCGCCCTCCGGGCCCAGCCCCAGGCCAAGCTGCTGTCGCTGCTGCAGCAACTTGGCCGCCTCCAAGATCGGGTCCGCGGGCAGGGAGAAGGAACGCGGGAGGCGGCGGCGGCACTCCCACGCCTCCTCCTGCTCAGGGGGAGCAGCCTTTTCCTCCGGCGGCAAGGGCTCAGCGTCGGGGCTTGGGGCCTCCGATGTGCCGCCGCCGTCCCCGCCACTCTCCATGCGGAGGACCCCCGGGGCGGGCAGCCCCTCGTTTGGCGGGGGATCTCCAAAGAGGGCGGGTCCCTGCTTCTCCGAACTTAGCGTCCCCTGGGGCTCCATGACCCCGCCGGGTCCCGGATCGCGCCCCCCTACCCCCGGCTCAGGGCTCCCCTGGAGACTTAACACCTTGGGTCTTTGCAGGAGCGCTCAGAGCCCGCCCCGGACCCGAGAGGAGAAGGCAGTTCCACCGGGGAGCCTCGGGTTTTAGCGGCGGCGGCCCGGGACGGAGTGGGAGGAGGATGCGGGCGTGGGGCCGGCTCTGGGGATTGAACCTGCCCGAAGCCGGGGGGAGGGCCCGGGGCGGGGAGGCGCGGGCCGTGGGAACACCTGGAAGCGGGGCGGCGCGGGCCAGAGCGACTGGGCGGGCTTGCCGAAGGTGAGAGACGGCTTTTTGGAAGTCGGGGCCTCCCCCTTCCCGCCCACCCACGCCGGCGGGGCCCGCTCTGTCCTGCCTCCGGAGCTCCTGGGGTGAACTGGCGCTCAGCTCTCGTGGACACGGGCGCGAACTGCCTTCTGCCCGTAAAGTCAGCCCCCAGGTCCTGGCGGGTCCGCCCTCCGGCGGGTCGCAGAGCGGTCTCCTCCCGGCTGTCGCATCGGCCCAGGAAGTCCGCGGGGCAGGCGCGCAATTAAGGAAGCTCGCCTGCGGGAGAGCCGGGAGGCGGCGGGCCGCGGAGTGCGAGCGCCGAGCGCCTCCTTCGCTTTCTCTTCTTTCCTTCCCAAACTTCAGGGCGCCCGGGCTCCAGTCCCGCTCTCCAGCCGGCCCCGGCCCGGCGCGTTCGCCTCGGCGCTCCGGCAGTGGCGGCGCCCAGGGGGCTGGGGCCAAGTCCGGGGCGGGGACGGTGCCGGGCGGCGCGGAGCGGACGCGGCCCCGCGCCGACCGCTGCCGGAGGCCATTAGCGCGGGGCTCGGGAGCACGTCCCCACTCCTCTTCCCACCCCCGCCCCCGCCCGATCCCGCCCGCCGCGCTCGGGGCCTGAGGACTGGGGGCCACGCGGGACAGACGCCGCGCCGCGCACTCCGCCGCTCCCCGCCGCGGCGAGGGGCCCTGGCGCGCGCTGGGGCTGCTTTGCTAGGCGGCCGACCTGCGGCTCTGCGGACGGAGCGCGGGGCCCTGGGCGCCCGGGGGACTTTCGATAGTGGGTTTTTGTGGTTGATTTTGTCTGGTTTTGATGATCTCATGATCTCCTTTTTCAGGCCGACTTTGCCTCGGCCAGAGTTAGTGGTTCTCAAACATGAGCGCGCGTCAGTGTCACCTGGAGGGGTTGTGAAACCGGTCCTGGGCCCCATGCTGGTTCGGTATTTCTAACAAGGGCGTACTGATGCTGGGCTCTAGGGTCTGTATTTTGGGAACTACGTATAAACCTGTGTGGACGTGTGGAGTTACTTGTGTAAAAAGCTAGGGATTCTAGCTTTTTTAGACATAGATCCAGTATTTAAGCATACATCCAGTATTTCAGGAAAGAAAAAAAAAAAAAGAAAGTAAGAAAAGAAAAGCCAAATTACCCAGTAAGGTCATTTAGGCATTGTAACTAAAATACCTTATGGTCTGGCAGAATTTAAAGGGGAATTAAAAGGGGCCAGTGCCTTAGGCATTCCGGTGAGGGGGCAAGCAGAAGGTGCTGAGTAGAGTCATATTAATAGCTCATATTCATGGAGCACCCAGCCATCAACAGTGCTGGTTTGAACTGACTCCTCTTGCATGATCTTATTCTCAGACCGTTTCTACTCTACAAATGGGACATAAAGGCGTAGAAAGATTGTTCACTACCCAGGCCTCACAACTAGGTCTGGTGGATTTGGACCTAGGTGATTAAGAGGGAAGATTTCTCCCATTGGCAGGAAGCCTGGGCTGGGGATGGTGTTCAGGAGGTAAGGGCTCTGCTATCCTCTTGCTGGGATGGTGGGTCCTACTGTACCCAATATAGAATACTAGAATTACATGTCAACTTGGGAGCTTACAAGAAGAACCAGATACTTCTGGTGTTCCTTCTGGAACAACTCCAAGATTTGCGGACAAAGACATTATTTTTACATTTAGGTAAACATTTATATATCAGGGAGTTAAACACAAATTTTGCAAACTATTTGGAAGATAAAATAAGATTTCAAAGAGATTTTGAGGTTGTGCGGATCCTCTCAGGGCATGTGCCCACTGCAGGACTGGGACTGGAGAAGGTGAGAAACCGACGGAGTGGGACTGAAGGAGGCATCATTCTCAGGGTTGTGCAGGGCCCTGGGTCCAGCCCTGTTACTTACTCTTCTCTTTGGTGAAAATGTTAGAGGACTCCACCCTCATGGAGCTCTCGATATATTGGAGGAGACCGGCATTAACCAAAAATCCACGTAAGCAAATACAGACTCAGCCATTCTAGCAGATGCTATGAAGGATGCAACCTGGCCAGGGAGACCTCCAGGAGGAAGGTGAGTGGGCCTACAAAGAACAACTCAACCCATTCAAGGCCCCACATGGGAAGGAGTATGGGTCACAGGGAGAGACTGAAAGAAGCCTGTGTAGCCCAAGGGCCGGGGGCTGAGGATGCAGGGGTAGGAAGGGGCCAGCCACTCAGGCCTTAAGCAATGAGAAACCATTGGAGTATTTTGTTTTTTGTTTTGTTTTGTTTAAAATTTTATTTATTTATATGACAGACAGAGACACAGCGAGAGAGGGAACACAAGCAGGGGGAATGAAGCCCGATGTGGGGCTCCATCCCAGGACCCTGGGATCATGACCTGAGCCGAAGGCAGACGCTTAAGGACTGAGCCACCCAGGTGCCCCGCCCCCCATTGGAGTATTTTGAATCCTACGTGTGACTAACCAGATTTAAGGTTTGAAAGCTCCTTCTGGAAGCAGGATGAAGAGCAGATTGTGGGGGATAGAGGCAATGTGGGTGAATCTGTTAGGAAACTATCACTGTCTTTCAGGTGAAAGGTGATCACACCTAGGTCAAGAGTAGTGGCGATGGTGGTGGGGTGGACATATCTGAGAGCTCTTTAGGAGTGAAACCAGCATGACGTGCTTATGGGCCATAGAGGGGAAGGGGGGGGAGGGCTGGAGGTGCCTTGAGGATTTGGACATGAGCGGTTCCTAGAGGCAGTCACACTCCCTGGGGGGCAGGGACCATCAAGAAGAAGAATGGAGGGAGGGCAAGATCATGAATCCCATTTTGGGCATTTTGAGCTTAGTAGACTCTCTGTTCTTTCTGACACCAATTCTCTGACACCATCTGGGTATCCAGCTATTGAAGTCTGATTGTAACTACCTGGAGGTAGTATCGGATCTTGCAGGGCAAAGGGCTCATTCCTGTGAGAGAGCCCCCTTTCGGATGCCAGCCGTACATGGGGTGCCCAGGCCACCACACTTGGGGCCAGCCAAGTACACGTTTGGGGGTTCCCACAATCCCCCCTTTCAGGTTCGGTAACCCACCGGAATGGTTCACAGAACTCAGGTCAAGGGAATAAGAACGTGCTATCGCAAATATGCCACTTCGTCATAAAGATTATTTTGAGAAAGCAATTAAAGACAGCCAGCTCAAGGTCTTTGTCCTCCCACTTTCTGCCTAAAAGCAGGGCCTGATTTTCCCTTTGCAAAAGTAACATAATAACTATCCACTTCTAAGTGTGTTTCCCTCTCTTAATCGCCAGAAATGACCCTGGAGATGATGCTGACTTTAGTCTGCATAAACTTACTAAACCTTATAACCTACATAAACCTGACTAAATGACGTTTATCTTCCATTCGTTTCCCCCTTGTATTTACCTTCCCACTATTACTGCCCCTAGAAGCCCAAGCACCTTTTCCTCTGTCACTTTTCCACAATTTATCACCCTTTGCTAAGGTGGGATATAAGCTCCTTGGCCTAACAGCTTTTAGGGGTTTTCGCTTCTCTCTAGTGAAGTGCCCATGTGCGTATGAGATAAACCTTTTTTACTCCTAATCTGTCTTTGTCAGTTTAACTTTGCAGCTCTGTTACCCTTCTCTTTGGTGAAAATGTTAGAGGACTCCACCCTCATAGAGCCCTCGATACACTGGAGACCAACATTAACCAAAAAGCATACATCCAGTATTTCCAGGGGAAAAAAAAAAAAAAAAAGTAAGAAAAGGAAAGCCAAATTACCCAGTAAGGTCATTTAACTGAATCTAAGAGGATAGAGGAAAAGTGTTTCCTCCCAAACACAGGAAAACACTTTACTTGCGTTTACCAGTTTATCCAGCTGTATAAAGGATACAACTCAGGAACAATGAAATGAAAAAGATGTGAGGAGAGGAGTTCCGAGCTTCCAAGCCCTCTGCAGCTACGCCACCCTCCCAGCACGTCAATGTGTTCACCAACCAGGAAGCTCTCTGAAGCTCATTGTTCAAGAGCTTTCATAGAGCTCAGTCTGCAGCTCTCTCCTCCTCCCTGGGCTACCCTGAGGCCATCTGGGGACCCTACCCTAAATCATCTCACTAACATAAATAGGTGTGATTGAAAGGGGCTCATAACTTAAGGCACTCCCATCACTCAGGACATTTCCGGCGCTGTAGGCCTTCCGTGCCAGGACTGGGGACAAAGGCTAAGTTAAGTACATATTTTTATTACACCACAGGAGGATATACAGGTCTAGAGCTGAGAAAAGGGCAAGGGCCCAGGACTGAGCTCTTAGCAACCCAGGCGTTGAAAGGCCGGGAGGGAAAGGATGAGCCTGCAGAGGGATAGAGAATGAGCAGGGCTGGAGGAATGAGGAGAGTTCTGGTCCTCAGAAGCCACGGGACGACTTCAGAAGCAGGAGAGGTAAGCATTCCACTTGGGGCTCACAGTGGCTTTGGGGTCCTCTTCCGTGTCTCCTGAAAGAGGTGGACCCAGTGGGTGGCCTCTGGCCCCAGACTCCCTTTCCCCTCAGCTTCCACCCAGGACAGGGTCTTCCCTACATGGGGATCTGGATGCCTGAAGTCAGTCATTAAATGATGCAGCATGCAAAATACCTTCAAAATGTCATCCACCCCATCGAAATGTATTTAGTCCAACTTCAAACATCATGTGCCTCAGCTGCTAAAATGTTTACTCCAGGCATTCAGAGGCTCCCAGCTTTACCATCATTTCTGGTTACCTACTGCTGCATAGCAAACCACCCCCAGACGTAATTGCTTATTAAAATAACCACAGCATTTATTTTCTGCATGAATCTGCAAGGTGGGCGGGGCTCCGGTTGTGGCCGCTTGAAGGCTGGGGCTGGGATCCTGTGATGCTTGGGCTGGAAGATCGGACCGCCGGGCTATCCACTGGCAGTCCTCAGGCATCTCTGTGTGATCTCAAGCACAGTGGCTTCAGGGCTGGTCTGGTAACCTGTTTGCTTAGAGAGAGAGAGAGAGACGGAGATGCTGCGTGACTTTATGGTCTAGTCTCAGAAGGCTCTTGGTGTCTCTTCTGCTACACTGTCTTCCTCAGAAGTGAGTCACGAATGCCAACATGTTCGAAGAGACAGGAATTAGATTCCCTTTGATGGAAGCGTGTCCAAGAAATTGCAGGTGTGTCTTAAAACCATCAAACTATCATAGAGGAGGACAAATTAGAAAGGACTCAAGAATTTAGCTAGCTTAAAACTCTCATTTTTCGGATGAGCAAGCTGACACTCAAAGAGGGAGGGTGGTTCAAACTTTTCACTCAAGGCAAGAATTGAGCTGGAATAAGAACAGTCTTTTGATTCGTAGTCTTTGAGACCATGCCTCAGAATCGCATCTTTTTTTTCTTAGATAACACCATTCCTTGATTACCATTGGTTTTCTTTTTTGATGGTTAGACAGTTGGATAAATAAGCTGATATTATTTACTTAACATGAAACTATGAAGGCGATCAGAACATACCACCCCAAAATATGCTACCTTGTCATTGTCTTGGTCTGTTTGGGATGGTATAATGAAAAAAACGTAAGATTGGATGGCTTATGAGCAGTGAACTACTTCCCACAGTTCCAGAGGCTAGGAAGTCCAAGGTCAAGGCAGATTTGGTGTCTGGTGAGAGCCTGCTTCCCAGACAGCTGTCTTTTCACGATGTGAAAAGGGGCCAAGGGGGCTTTCTTGAGTCCCTTTCATAAGGGCGCTAATCCCATTCCTAAGGGCCCCACCTTCATGGTCCAATGATCCCCCAAGCCCCCACCTCCTAATACCTTCACACTGCGGTTTAGATTTCAACATATGAACTTTGAGGGGACACAAGCATGCAGACCATAGCAGGTACATTGATTATTTTGAAGTGAGGACAACTGAGAGACAGCAGATACAGGAAGGGCTCTCTGCCCTCCTCCTTTCTACCTAAAAGCAGGGCATCGTTTCCTGCACCAGGAAAAGGAAAATATTCTTATCATCTGAGACAGAGTTGACACCAAGATGAATCTGGACAAACAAACCTACTAAACTAACTCTTAGCTTCCATTAGCTTCCCCCGTGTATTTCTGGGTCACTTTCCCAGTTTATTACCCTTAGCCCAGACCCCTTTTTCCTCTGTCTTGCCACGTCCCCCCATTCCCCCTCCCCCCACTGATTATCATTCTTTGTTAAAGTGGTACATAAGCTCTCAGACCTGTTGCTTCCAGTCTTCATTTCTTACATGTGAAGGCCTCCACGTACACACAAAACTGCTAACGTGAAATAAACTTTTTATGCTTTTCTTTTGTAAATTTGTCTTTTGTCAGTTTAATTCTTAGGCCCAAACACAGAATCTAAGCGGATAGAGACACCATATATAATATGTTAAAGTATTTCAAAAATACTAACTTTTTAAAGTATTTTAAAAGAGCAGAAGCATTTTAGAAACATTTCCCCTAACTCTTCTTTAGCTTTTTTGAAGGAGATTGGGTTGATTAAGGTAAAGTCACAGTAATTTTTTAGCCATGGAACTTCATAGAAAAATGCAGTCATGGAAACTTAAATGCAGCCATGGAAACTTCATAGAAAAATGCCTTCTAGCTTGAGAGGATCAAATTTTGTAGTGCCTTAGGCTACTTTTGTCAGCACAACTGAAATATGGCGATGGAATGAACCCGTAATAAATTTGAAAAAAACATTACCCTGCTCACCTGGTTCATTTTTCTTTCTATGTGGGCCTTTTAACAAAGAGAGTCAAGGAACTCTAAGAGGTCTTAGTATACAACTGACTTGCTTCAAAAGTGGAGAAAATAAAGCCAAGCGAGATCCTAATGATTTGCTTAACCAAAGCCATTCAGCCACCCAGAAGACTGAGGGCTGGAATGATCTCTAATACAGCTGGTCCTTGCTCATCACTGTGTGTTAAAAACTCCTAGCGTCATGTATCCTCACACTGCTCACGGGGATGGTTACCGTTACACCAAGTATGGAGTCATGGGGACCTACAAAGTTTTAATGAATCACTCTAGTTATCTAGAGTGGAATCTGCCAAGCCAGGATTTGGACTACCATGGGCATGGCACAGGCCCCTGTCTGAACCCCACTGCAGCCCTCTCTGGGATCCCGCTGGAGACAAGTCATGTTGCTTTTGGCTCAAACAAATAAACAAAAAAACAAAAATCACCAAGTCAGAAGGGGCCTTCCCACATTCCTACAACCAAGGGATGAGGAATTAACAAGAAAATTAAGGATGGATTTTTCTATTTTTATTCTTAATTTCTTTGGTTTCTGTCCTTCAATGAGTTTTATTCATGTTTTCTGATCATCGAGATTTTAACATGGTTTGCATAATATGTTCTAAGTGTAATTTGTGAGTTTCCTAGAGCTGACTAGCCTAATACCCAACCAATTTTTTTTCTGAAATTAATGGTCATTTAAATATTACATTTTTAAGATTTTATTTTTATTTATCTGAGAGAGAGAGAGCAAATGAAAGGGCACAAGTTGGGGGGAGAAGCAGACTCCCCGCTGAGCAGGGAGCCCAACTTGGGGCTCGATCCCAGGACCTTGGGAGCATGACCTGTCCTGGGATCATGACCTGAGCTGAAGGCAGATGCTTTACTGACTGAGCCATCCAGGCTTCCCTAAACATTACATTTTAAAGAGCCCATTAGAATTAAGTTGACTTCCTACTATTAACACTTCAAGTTTCATTTAACTTTTTATTCTCATATCAATGTTCTGTCACGTTTAAGTCATTTTACTTATATTTAGTGACTTTTCTCACTTGACTTTGGATGACTGTAAATACCAGTCTGATCACAAGCATAAACAAATATGTAAAAACTTAAAGTTCTTGGCATATGTGACACAACTCTGAGTAAACCTACGAAACTAGGAATGCAAGACTGATACCAATCTACTACTTTTGCATGGCTCCACAGAGCCTCTGTCAGCTTCTAGAAGGAGGCCCTTCATTTGCCCTCTCAACCTTTTTGTCCAGAGCCTGCCTGCTTTCCCCCACTCTGTGTGTGAGGCAGAACTGAAAGTTTTGGAAACAACTGGGTTTGACATCTTTCTTTGAAGGGAGGAGGGATGGAACCCACATGTCTTGCCTTCTCACTACATGACAGAGATTTGGTCTCCTAATAGGGTCCATGACAGCCTGTGAGGGAGTGTAGTGGGCATGTGGCTGGCGAGCTCCACACACACCCCTCTTCCTCCTTTCTAGCAGAAATCCCACACACGTCTTTCCCCTACTCCCCTCCACAGTAGCATTTGTCTGATCTCAGAGGAACCCCCATCCTGACCATGACTGGTTCAGAAATGAGCAAGTGATCCCAGGCAGTAAGTTGTGAGGAGGAAGTCTGAAAGGAAGCTTCCAAGGGATGTTTCCTTTTTCCTAAGAGAGAGCAAGAAATGATGCCATCTCACTTAATCCCCTGGGCCTACAATAGTCATAACTACCTCGCTACAGTCAGAGGTGAGGTGCTGAGCATGGGAAATGGAAAGTTGACATGAGCTGCTAGGTTGATGCTTCTCAACGGGAAGGCTATTGGCTTTGTGAGTAGGGCAAGTCTTTGCTGTGACCATCTGTAGCAAACATTTTAAGATCTTTAACATCCACGAGCCCTACCCTCAAAATGCACTGGCAGCCTCAGGAATGTGACATCCATAAAATCCATACTCTTCTTTCCAAACCTCCCTCCCCCATTGAGAATCATGATACTCTGTCTTTGGACCTTCTATCATACAGCCTTTTGATTTAAACCAATTTAACTGAGCTTTCTGCCGGTTGCAGCCCAGGGTCTCCTAACAGGAAGGAATTATTATAGTAATTTTGAAAGAATAAATGAGCCTCAAAGAGGTCAATGAATGTGCCCAAGGATATCAACAAGCAGGTGGCAGAGCCAGCATTTGACTCTAGATCTAACTTCAAAGCTTGGCTACTTCCTCCCTATTTGCTTTCTCTCCAGGCACATAGAAGTTACTCTGAACCTTACTATTCTGTTTTCTCTTTCCCATCAGTTTCCTCCAAAAGAACAAATGTTGTTAGTTTGTTCAGTGGAAAAATATGAACAAACAAAAACAAACAAGCAAAAAAAAAAATGAAGGACAGAAGTTTTATGAGGAAAAATTAATATATGCACAACACATATCTGTTTGTTTATGCATGGTGTATTTCTGGAAAAATCCTGTTATAGGGGTTGCCTCTAGGGAGTAGAGCTGAGAGACTGGGGCTATGAGGTAGGAGGAAAACTTACTTTCATTGTAGATCCTTTCTACTGTTTGAATCCTTTGTCTTGCGCAAGTATCTTTTCATTTTATTAAATAGCAAAAATTTTAAAGCACTTGTAGATAAATTTTATATTACATGTATTTTGCCATATCTTCAAAATATTTTTAAAAAGCATTCATAGGATTCAATATTTAAAAACTGAACTTGGGGTGCCTGTGTGGCTCAGTCAGTTAAGCATCTGCCTTCGGCTCAGGTCATGATCCTGGAGTCCTAGGATCGAGTCCCACTTCAGGCTCCCTGCTCAGTGGGGAGTCAGCTTCTCTCTTGCCCTCTGCCGCTCCCCCTGCTTGTGCTCTCTCTCTCTGACAAATAAATAAATAAAATCTATAAAAATTGGGTTCATTATAGCACTTGACTCTTCCCTCTCACTGGCTACCTTTGGCTGCTTGGTCTTATTCCTCTGCCCATTCTTCCTTTTGTTATAATGAGGCCATCTTTTCCTTTTCCATATCACTGTTACTCACCTAGCATGACCGCCACCAGTCCTTTGGCACAGCCCTGATGGAGGAATCTTACCTGACCTTTGCTTTGACACCATCCGTACACATCTCCCAAGTATGGTCCAAACTCCTTACCTGGAAATAATCTGACTCCAACCACTTTTCCATCCCCTCTTCTCTATTCACCTGAAGAAGT